GACAGACTGTCCAAGAAAACAAGCCATACTTTGGTTATACTCAGTCTTCCTCAATCTCCAAAAGCAGCTGAGTATTGCCAAAGTGTGGCTTGTTTTTCTGGGCTGCTGTCTGCGCTGATGCTCTGAACTGAAATAAAATAGATTGAAAAACAAATTGGTATGCCTTGGCTCTTCTTGCAGTTTCATATTATCCTTCAAAGCTAGTGTAACCACCTACTCTTTACTGGAACCCAACAGACCCAAATCACAGAGTAAAACTGCAACTCTCAGGTGTGCAGGTCCCACCCAAACCTAAAATAGCAATTTAATTCAGGGCTTGTTGTTTATCACTGCATTAACATGCCACTCTCTGTCCAGCTCCTTGTTCCATTTGCCGGGATGGATTCTATCTTCTGATGACATGTGCTGTATGGTTACTGGATATAGTTTAAAGCAAAAGTTGACATCGCTTTTTTTTAGTTCCCTCCATTTATTACTTCCTGTAATTTCTCATGCTCCTGGCCCAAACATCCTATTTTTACTTATTTAAAAAGCCTGCTTAAAAAAAAAAAAGCCTGCTACTGTGTCAAAGCATTTAATATTCTATAATTTTTGTTTTAGGTTTTCTTTTTTTGAGACAGTGTCCAGGTTAGTCTCAAACTCCCAGCAATCCTCCTGTCTCAACTACCTGAGTACACGGATTTACCACACCCGGCTAACACTGTTGTAAAGCATACAACATTATTTTGAAAATTTCTAGAAGAAATCCAAAATCATTTGCAAACAAAATTTGAAACTAACACCAACTAGAAAAAGCCCCAAATTTTCTGAGACTGCCTTAATAAAAGCAGATATTATAGCGGGGTACAGCTCTGGACTAGAGCACCTTAGAAACCCTGGGTTCTATCTCCACAACAACCGTCCCCCACCTCCCAAAGGAAGGAAGAGAATGTAGGAAGGACAAAGGGAAGGATGAAGCCAGGGAGGAGGAGACGAACGATGGAGGTGGGCAGGAAGCTGATACCTTTGAGGGGGGCACACAAATGGTTTCAAACTTAATTAAAAGTGCTTGGGGCAACCCACTCGGTCCCCTTCTGTCTCCTCTCAGACAGTAGTTTTCTTTCTTCCAATAAATATATTCTGCTCTAAAATAATAAAAAATAAAAGTGCTGAAAATGCTCTACATACACTTGCATAATTTGGCTTAAAAAACTAAAACCCACTTGAAAATGTTCTTCTATAAACAAAACTAGGAAAAAATAAGATATATTCCATTTCCTTCACCCCAAAGATAGAAAAACCACCCACCCTTTTTTGCCCCCAATTTTGTCTATAACATGTTCATGGATTTTTGTTGTACTTTCAATAAAGTCTCCAGTTAGGGCCAAATTTGGTTAGTTTTTGCTAAATGGAATCCAGCATAATAACAAAAAGAAAGGGGCTGGCAATGTGGCTCAGTGGAATAAGCGCTGCCCTGGCAAGTGCAAGGGCCTGAGTTCAATCCCTGGTTCTGCAAAAAAAAAAGAAAAAGAAAAGAAAAAAACAAAAACAAAAACATAAACATAAACCTGTTAACACATTTTCTATGTGACTTTTTTTTTTTTTTTTAACTGGGGATTGAACTCAGGACCTTGTGCTCGCCAGGCAGGTGTTTATGCTGCTAAGCTATCTCCTCAGCCCTAACACATTTTTCTCTTCAGTGGGCAGACAACTACTTAAGGGAGTCCCATTATCCACATGGGACAGAACAGACAGCACCTTAACTTGCTTAGTACCAAGCTCCACAAGCAGTGAAGCTGTTCAGGGCCACAGACCCAGCACAGTCCTGTTAAGCACCGCACTCAGTTCTCTGGCACACCCCAAGTTTCTATCCACCTTGCGGGGTTTCTGAGCCTGCCCAAAAGTTCTTCCACCTGGCTTCTCTTCTTTTTTTTTTTTTTTTTTTTTTTTTGGCTTCTGTTCCTTATTGCTTCTTGTTGGTTGTGTTCCTCATTTGGGCAAGTTTAAGCTTAAACTACATTTCCCAAGAGTGGTCCTCCCTGGTCACAGAGTTAAAAGGGAAACTTCCAGGGCTGGGGAGAGAGCTCAGTGGTCTAAGTGCCTGTCTGGCAAGTGCAAGGATGTGGTTTGATCCCTGGTACTGCATGCTGTGCTAGCCACTGAAACTGGGTGTGGTGGTGTATACCTATAATCCCAGCATTGGGGAGGCTGAGACAGGAGGATCACTACAAGTCCCAGCTGTGTAATGAGACCCAGTACCAAAATAAAGATTTTTTTAAAAAACCAAAACTTCCAGGTTAGTCTCTTAAGTAAAAACTATTTTGCTTCCCTATAGCAGTTGCCACAATTTTGAAAAGCTTATTTGTGCACTGGCTTGACTCCAGGTTTGTTTGTTTTTTTTTTTTTTTATTCTGCATATTTTATGTTGTTAGAACATTGGTAATAAAATCAGTAAGAGAATAAAATTAAAGAGTTAATAACTGGAATGTGAACATACTCTGTGCTCTTGGTTGACTCCAGGTTTTAATATCCACAACAGGGCCCTCCTGCTCACCCTGCCAATCACAGGACTTACCAGTTGGGCCCTGTATGCAGTAAGTACTCAAACCTATGCTCAAGGAATGTCCTGGCACACACCTACGCAGAAGGATCACAAGTTTGAACCCAGCCTGGACAACTTAGTGACTTAGTGGGACTCCATTTCAAAATAAAAAATAAAACAGGGCTGGGGATATAACTCAAAGCTAAGGCCCTGTGTTCTTTCTCAGTGTCACAAAACAAAAACAAAATCTTCACTTTGAACATCTATCTGGGAGTTTCAGGTTACATCAGGTTATGGACAGAGGCTGGCAGCAGAAGATCCAAAGGGTAAGGTGTGGTCCCTGCCCAAGGTCCTCCCAGGCTAGTGGGACCAAGCCAGGGTGGTGAGTGTGGCCCCTTAGTTTCAGCTCCCAGCCCCCTAGTGGCATAAACTGTGCAACTTTTGACCTCTCCTCTGGGAGCCTGTTTTCTTACCCATAAATGTAAATAGTAATGCTACATCTGTTGAGCGTTACATGACAATTGATGCAAATAATCCACTGAGCACCAGGACCTGGAACAAAGGGTTCACTTCATAAATATCAACTACTAAATCAATCTGATGCTGGAAGGAACATTAAAAATAAGGGGGGGGGGCAGGAGAATAAAAAAATTGAGATGTGTTATGTACATGCACCAGGTCCCCACAATGAACATAATTGTTTCGTGCTATAAACATGTACTCATAAAAATTTAAAACAAGTGGGTATGGTAGTGCACACCTGTAACCCTAGCACTTTGGGAGGCTGAGGCAGGAGGACTTCCATGAGTTCAAAGTCAGCGTGGATTACACAGTGAGATCCTGTCTCAAAATAAGTAAATAAACAAATTACAAAGTTTATTGTTATGATGCTAGCTGTGTTTTAAACTACCTTTGTGCACCTGCACACCATCTGTCCAAGATCCCTGAAGAACTTAAATTCCTGTACATCATCTATTTCCAGGGACTTGAAATGTTCCTAGCACATAGTAGGTGCTCATGAAATGCTGATTAATGAATGCATACATCCAAGCAGAGTGTTTTCAACTATTTGTTAAACAATGACAAAAAGTGAGGTTTGGGAACTGCCCTAGAAGGTACATTAGGGAGAAACAGGAAGACTGAAGTCTGATGATTTAAACTGAGTGCCAAGGGGCCGGGAGATGGCTGAGTGAAATAAGTGCTTCCCTGGCAAGTGCACGAGCCTGAGTTCCTCAGTTCAATCCCTGGTTCGGAAAAACCAAACCAAACCAAATCTGAGTGTCAGCACTTGGGAGGCTGAGGCAGGAGGATAAAATGCAACATCCAGACCAGCCTGGGCTACACAGCCAATTCAAGGCCAACTTAAACTACATAAGAACATCAAATAAATAAATACAAGCCAAGTATGGAAAAATTTCACTTGGGAGATGGTTAATCAGGATCTGGCTTGAAAAAAGTCTGAAGTAACATGCCCAGGAACCAGGCAGGGGTTTGCCAGCCATACAACCTATAACACCCTGAAATTGTTTAAACCATCTCACTTCTTCCTCTCGTGTAAAAGGGAAACATCATAAAGTGTGATAAAGCACAAGGCCAGGTATAAATGTAAATAAAACACCTGTCAGGCATTGAGTGAATATTACTACCATAGAAAGTAAGAGAAACAACTACTTTGACCTGTACCAAATACATAAAAATTGAAAATAATAAAATAAAACATTAAAAAAGAAACTACTTTGAATAATGAGTAAAACCAGAGGGATAATAGAAGCCAGTGTTTCCTCAGCCAAGAGCTCTAGGTACACGGCCCAGTGGGCGAGAAGGGACGCGGGGGAAACCCCAGGACCACAACGACTCCATCTACCTGTGTCTAGGACCGGGGTCGACACTCTTTTTCCGCAAAAGGTGGAACAGAAATACGAAACCGCTCTGCCCAAGGGGAAGGAAAGCTGCCGGAGATGATACCTAAACAATGAACATGGCCGCGTTCCAACAAAACTTCACTTACGGACGCTGAAGTTTGATTTTATTATCACTGCTATTTCTCTTTTGTCCCCCAACCATTTAAAAACATCAAAACTACTCCTAGCTGCTGTCAAACAAAAACAGCCTGGGAGAGGAAAGGAAGCCTGTGGCTGAGGTCCGCGGGCTGCAGATGCTCGGTGCAGGACATGGGGGAGGCGGAAGGAGACGGCGACATCCAGCCGCCCCCATCGGCCCGGGCAGGACCCCAGCGGAGGGCCTGCCCGGGCCCCCCAGTCCCCAAGGCCTCTCCATGCCCGAGCCCACGCGGTGCCTGGGGGTGCGCTGACCCCGGGACCCACGTCCCGCAACCGAGGGAGGCCGCAGTGACCGAGAAGAGTCCCGCAGAGTGGGCCACGCGGAAGGGTCTCTGTGAGCCCGTCACTTGGGGCGCCTCTCGGGTCTCAGCTGCAAAAGGGGTCTCCACGCTGAGTCGCAGCCCCGTTTCTATGGTTACCTGTTCAGCACCGATTCAAACTGCCGTTCTTTATTGACAGCGCCATAGAGAACACGAACACTCCTGCCCGAAGGGAACAATAAAGCTTTCGCCATTCAACAGCGCCGGAGACGCCAGCAGGCGGCCATCTTGAGGCCGGCGCTGAAGGGGCAGACGCCGAGAGGGGCTGGGCGTCCTTGCCCGTGCGTCATGTCACGTGCTGGGGGCGGTCTCGCGAGAAGGCGGGGCCTGCGTCACGTGCTCGTGCTCCGCCAATGCTAGGCCGCTGGAATGAGGGGGTGGCCAACCTCCTCACTGGATCGCTGACGTTTGCTACGCCTTCCCCTTACCATCGAGCCTTTGGGAGGTTCTACTTGAGTTTTCACCTCCTCCTGCTGGGGCATCTCCAGGACTGAGATCTTACTTCAAAGGATGGCAGCGACGTAGATAAAGATTTATTTTTCCGAAAACAACAAATTCACGTGCAAGGCCCGGCAGAGCAGTGTCCCCAGACACACTCTCATTGGTGGAGAGACTTGCCGTGCTCAGACGTGATAGGCTACCGGGCCGAGTGCCAGCCACTCGAGGCGAGACGAAGCCGTTGTGATCCCGCCTCTCCCGCTCGAGTTCGAGGGTTTTGACTCTCCGCCGGGGAAGTGTTCGTAGCTTTTCATTTACACGTCTTTTCTTCGCCCGTACTTCATCATGAAGCCCGTACCTTCTTGCCACCCTCGTAAAGTCACGTTTAAAACTGATCTGATCGGCGCTGGCTCCATAGACGCAACTACTGTTTATCACCTGCACCCTTTTTCTGTCCTTGCCTCGATTTCCCTCTGGTTACATTAGGGAACCCGTTATTGAACCGAATGGAAAACACTTTGCACCAGGGATTTGGAGAGCAACCAACTTTATTACCCTGATGGGCTGATGCGGGGTCGCTCCCAAAGCATCAGGCCAGAGCCGACTTTGCGCTTAGTTGACATAGGTTTGCAAGCAGGAAGTGCAGAGGCTTAAAAACGTGGTGAATTTTATTTGGTATCATTAGTTATTCTTCATTGCTGAGCAGAAAGTCCTTGACACAAGTTAGCAGCAAACAGGGAATGTTTGGGGGTGAGAGTGCGGTCAAACTGAGCAGCGTCAGGTTATCTCTGGTGTAGTCAGGGCCAAACAGGAGAGCGGTGTGGTCGATTCCATGATTTTCTTTTGTCCTAATGTGTCAGACTACCAGTAGTTTGGAGTTTTTAAAAATTTGCAAGGGCTGGGCCAGGGAGATGGCTCAGTAGAATAAGCGCTTCCCTGGCAAGCTCAAGGGCCTAAATTCAATCCGTGGTTCCGCAAAAAAAAAAAAAAAAAAAATCCAGGGCCGGCGGTATAGCTCAGCGGACTAAGCGCTTGCTCAACGAAGCTCAGGGCCCAGGGTTCGAGCCCTGGCACCGGTTGCGCGCCGGCCCCACCCTCGGGCGTGCTGAGCCAGCGATGGAGTCCGGGCGTGGTGGCGTGAGCCTGTAATCCCAGCCATGGGGAGGCAGAAACCAGGAGGATCGCTACAACCTAGGTAGTGAGACCCTGCACAAAAAAAGAAAAAAGAAAAAGAAAAAAAATTTCCAGCCAGACACAGTGGCTCATATGTATAATCCCAGTCCTGGGGAGGCTGAGGCAAGAGGATTGTTGCTAGTTCGAGACCAGCCTTGGCTACATAGTGAGCTTAAAGCTACCCTAGCTGCATAGTGAGACTGCTTCAAAAAGGAAAAAAAAAAAAATCCATCACAGTTACAGCTATTATATCTGTGTCAACATTTCATCCTTCTGAGCACTGGGCTGTCCCACCACCGTTTTTAGTCACATATTCAGTCTACTGGGTGGTATTCACATTTTTGCTGTCACCTGGCCCATTATATTTACTACCATTGTCCAATATGCAACTATGGCCTTTGACCATTAACTTAACATTATTGTTCATTATAGCACTGTCTGTGCCCAGCTGTCACCTTGGGGTTGTTCTCACTCAGCTATTTTCTCTGCCAATTAGTCAAGTCGTTGAACAGGTCCATCCTGATGCCGTTGTTCTTCATAGTCAGTTTTACTGTTACATGGGCACCTCACAGTCACATTCAGGGTCAGCTTTACTGTAGCCGACATTCAGTCATTCTTGTAGCCACTAGAGTTATGCCAATAACCATTATGTTCTTTGAGCCATTTGCACCATCACCACATCATTTTTTTTAGACAGCATTTTCTGCTTTACAGATCAGGCTGGCCTTCAAGTTGAACTCACTCAACTCCCTGAAATTGAGCTGGCCTCAACTTCACAGTGATCTTCCTGCCTCAGTCTCCTGAGTACTGGGATTATTAGGTGTGGGCCACCACGCCCAGCTAAGCACCACATTCCTTAGTGATTTTTTTTTTAAATATATTTAGTACGGGGTCTCACTATACAGATCAGACTCATAGTGATCATCCTGTTTTCAGCCTCCCAAGTGCTGGGATTATAGGCATGCACCACCACACCCAGTCTCAATTGCTGTCTCAGCATCCCCCAAGGGCAGAGCCTGCAGCTCTGCCTAAACAGGCGCTTTAATCCACTGAGCTATCTGGCTGGCCTTAATGGGTGTTTTTAGTTACTTTTCTTGTTGCTGAGACAAAATGCCCAACCCACAAGATAATGTAGAGAAGGTTTATTTAGCTCACAGTTTGTGGAGGTTTCAGTTCATAACGAGACGGTGCAAAGGCAGAGTGGCATGTGACGGGTGACCATTCAACAGCACGGGCTACAAGGAGAGGGAGGGGAGATGGAAAAAGAGCAAGAAACAGACAGACAGACTGACACATTTCCTGCCACCCTAGGGAAGGTGTAGCACTTATACCCTTATTTGCAGCATTGGACCATGAATCAGTCACAAACTCTAGAAGCCCGCCTCATGAGTGTATGAGGCTTTGGGGGGGACATCTAGATGGAAACCATAACGATGGGAGTCCCACATTGTGAAGCTGCCACATTTAGCATATAAATACCTAGAATAGTGCTTGACACATAGTAGGAATATCTGCTGAATTCATGGATTTAAAACAAACACTGTTACCTCCAGGTGTGGTGGTGTTTGGGATACTGACTCAGGAGGATCTCTGTGAGGCCAACCTGGACTACATAGGTAGTAGAAAGTTCAGAGTGAGAAGATTGAACTGTACCATGAGAAGACAAAACCATAAAACGCTCTTACAATGCACTATAGGCAGTTGTGGATGCTGTTGGGCACAGTGGAGAGTGCCTATGATCCTAGCACTTTGGGAGGGTGAGGCAGGAGGATCTCAAGGTTGAGCCTGGGTGGCTTAAGGACTTAATGAGACCCTGTCTCAGATTCAGAAATAAAGAGACTAGAATTCAGTTCAGTGCAAAGGCTCTGGGTTCAATCCCCAGAACCAAGATGAAGGGATAAAGTGCAAGAAAAATTAATACCATGTACACAGGATTTTGGAGGCCATAGTTACAAAGAAAAAGACTTTTTTTCCATTGCAGAAGATACAACCTAGAGCCTTATATATATGCTAGATGAGAACTCTGCCACTGAGCTCCATACCAATCCCCAGGAGTTTAGGAGGACTTCTACAAGTTTCTTCTTTCTTATTTTAGAAGGACTACAGAGATCTCTCAGTTAATGACCTGTTTAACAACTATTTGGGCTTACAATCCATCTTTTTATGTGCATGTAGCTCTGTACATCTTGTTCATAGAATCTCAATGTGTTCTTTGGTACAGTCCTGCAATTTTTGCTATTGCACTGTACAGTGTGGTACTATTCTGTTCTGTTATACATTACAGTACTGAATGTAAGAGTTATGCTAATAAAACCAACCACCAAGCTGGAGGTTCCTTTGACCATTTCTTTGTTTTGAATATCATAATGTACATACTATATGCCATTCCTCATTTAGCGACCAGTTCATTTAACGTCGTAGTCAGGGGCATGGAAATCAATATTTCAGTGAGAAAGGTCTGTACGTGTTTATTGTACCATGTTTAGAAAATGCGAGGAAGTCTTTCCTTTTCGGCAGGACGATCTCAGACATAACGGAGAATACTGTACCCATCATGTCCACATAAGGCTACAGGCAGAAAGCTCCACAGTGGAGCTCAAATAATGGCTGGAGGTGAAAATGCAAGCCTGCTAAAAATACTGTATGGTAGGTTTTTTGTTTGTTTGTTTAGTTTTGTTTTTGAGACAGGGCCTTGCTATGTAATCAGGTTGGCCTTGAACTCACTTATGTAGCCCAGGTTGGCCTCAAGTGGTGGTGAGCCTCTTGCCTCAGCTTCCCAAATACTGGAACTACAGGCATACACCACCATGCCCAGCTTTAAATATATTATATACAGTTACCTTCAGTTTATTTTTACTTTTTTGGTACTGGGAATTGAAATCAGGACCTTGCACTTGCCAGGATCTTCAGGTTATGTATATAAAATGTATATGAAGCATTTTATATGTTGAGCTTTGTGTACCATCTTCAATATATCTCATTATGTATATGCCAATACTCCAAAATCCCAAGGACTTCTGGTCGCAAGCATTTTAGATAAGGGATAATTAATCTGTATTAGATTTTCTTATGGGATTGACTTGCCTACAGTTCAGGAAGAACAGTGTAGGAAGGCGAGGGGGATAATAACTCATTGGTTGAGTATTTACCTAGCATGCAAGCACCAACACCAAGAAAAAATAAATAAAAATAAAAGACAAGAGGCTGGGCATGGTGGTGAACTCCTATAATCCCAATACATTGGGAGGCTGAGGCAAAAAGATCATTAAGTTCGAGTCCTGCTGGACAACTCAGTGAGACCTTGTCTCAAAATTTTTAAACAGTGGGGAGGGATGGGGATACAGCTTACTACAAAGGCCCTGAGATCTATTCTCACTATTGTGGAGGTGGGGGGAGTAGACCAAATGAATAGCACATGTCAGAGAGAGAAAAACAAAAACAAAAACAAAAACCCTGGCTTCTGGTGAGCCATTTCATGGAAGAACAAGGAACCAATAGCTGGACTTCCAATGGCCTCAGTTCAGAGAGCCTTAATAGCACCAGAAAACTGAGAACTTTTTACCCTTGTTCTCCCTTAGTAGAGAATGTTGCTTGCTTGCTTTTTCTTTCTTTCTGCCTTTCTTTCT